CGAAAGCGTAACCGGACGTAAGAAGTCTGGCTACTATCTGCTTATCAATAGTGGGATGTATATAGAGAGTTGATGTTTAGGAAGTTAGCAGTCATAATATGAGGATATTACAAGAATGTTAGCAAGAACTATGAGGACTTTGGTTTGATTAGAAAGTAGTAAACATCACCAAGAGAAAGTTTAGAAGAACAGACAATGCTGCCTACAACGTGGAGATAACATCGTGAATCATTTACTGGGGTGAGATGGCTATAGGACTTTGTCATAAACTTACATACTACTATATAGAGAGAAACAAGGATGTACAGATAGTATTAGAAAATATTACAAATAGAGTTACCAGTTAGGACACAGGGATTATGAGAGGGAAAACCTCTGGATATAGACAGATGACAAGAGCTCAACAGCAAAGGAAGTGTAAAGAACAAGGCCTCCTGGACATGGAAGGTGTGGATCCAATGTCAGGAAGCAATGTGCCTTGTGCTAATATTCAGCAAAATAAAGTACAATGTCAAATCTTTTCATCCAGCCATGCAACCACAACTCTACTACTACTATAGGTTTACTATATAGGCAACTACAACTACTCTGAATGAAGTGAAAATTTAGTTTGAGATTCAATAGATATAACATAACTCTCATATGAAAGTATAGAATAAAAAAATCAAGACTTTATATACCATCTCTTTGCTTCTAAAACAGCAGCTACTGTCCTAAGCATAGACTCCCACAGCCTTTCCAAAAAGTCCCCCTCTATATCGTGAGTCCAAACCTCTTTTAGAGCTTCTGCTAGTTGTCTTCTAACAGTTTCTAGAAAATTCTTAGTCTTATTAATGTCAGGAAAGTGCTAGTGTAGCATTTCCTTTACCCTCTTCTAACAATGTTCAATAGGATTGAGATCAGGGGAATTGAGTCGCTGTTCCATAGCCTGTATCTTGTTTTCCTCAAACCAAGCCATAGCATCCTTTATAGTATGTATCTTTGCACCATTCTGCTGAAATATAGGACCAACAGTGTCCTCCACTTCCTACCAGGTATTAACTAAACTATCTTCCAAAACTCCAACATATCCAAATCTATTGACACTCTTCTCAAAAATGAGAATCAGTAGACCCTTATTTTTACCCCAAATACAAACCTAGACCATTGTCTTTATACCAGGATCTTTTGTAATCCTATGAATGCAGTTCTTTTTACCACTTTTCCTCCGGAATTCTGAATACCCAACTACTTTTAAAATCTTTAAACCTTTTAACCATGCATTCATCACTTAAGATGACACCTGCAAAGTCCTTCTTTGTCCAATGCTTATACTCCATACCCCAAGCTAATCTCTTGACAGCATGCTCATCTTCTAGAAGAGCTCTCTTCCTTTCTCTCCACTTCTTTACATTAACTGATGCCAAAGCTCTCTTGACAGTATTCACAGAGTTATATAGTACAACACCATTGTACAATTCTGACAGAGTTTGGTGGTGTGGCTTCTTGGACTCTCTGGCTAGGCAGCAGCAGATTCTGCTATCCATAATTTGTCTCTTCCTAGGGTTGGAAGGTTTTTCCCACCATACCTTTTTCAATAGTGCTTATAAAAACTGAGAACTGTACTGTTTGAACAGTTTAAGAGCTTTCCAATTTCAGTAAAAGAGAATTCTGTTTTTCTCAGAACGAAAATTTGCCCTTTCTGAAAGTGTGTGAAATGGCTAGTCTTTTCAGAAGGCATTGCTGTTGAGGGGTAGTTGATAGCTAGGGTGGAGATTTTTGAGGTGTTGTTCAGTTACTACTGGGATGAAATGATTTAGCCCAGTACTGTAAAAATGACTGTTAAGGAGTTACCCAGAGGTAATAGTGGATGTTGTAACATAGTGAGGATGCCTACATGGTACACCAGATGAAGCTGAAACTTAATAGGAGTTCCTTATATGCTATCTGGACGCTGAAAATATAAAGAGTCAACGTCAGAATAGAATATAGAGAAGGGATACTAGCTAAATGATGCAACAGAGGATGCAATATTGATCTCACGTTTCATCCTAATTTGTACTTAGCATTCTAAGTATCATGTGCATCAGCTGCAGTGGATACCCAAGATGTCAGTATAAGTGTTCCCTGTTGTAGATCAAACTTTACAAAATTTTCTCTAAATATTTAGGCAACATGTGACACCTCTACTTGTGGGTACAGCTGATGTGACTCCAGCTACTATTACTAGTTTGATTAGTATCCTTTTTGTTTAGAATTTTCTTATTTTGTTATGTTAGAGGTGCAGGGGACTTGGAGCACTGGGAGCAGGCTGAGTATATGGCTGAAGTTGAATCTATATCAGCTAGATTGACACAGTACCCTAGGACATGAAACTTACAAATAGTTGATTTTGTTTGAATTTTTTTTTAACTGGTAGTTCAAGCATAGCCATCATAAAGGATAAAGGATAAGTTATAGTTGTAGGATTTTAGGTAAGTGTATCAAGTTTTACACTAATTGAAACTATTACCAGAGCTATTGACCAGAGTAGTACTATGATGAGAGATCCATTGTCGAAGTTTGTAATGTGACTGTCTGTAATAGTAGTTGCAAGAGATGCATATTGGGCTAGGAGGTAGGCATTAAAAGCCTAGTTGTGAGTGACAAAAGATGAGTAGCATCACTGGAGGAAGACCTAATAGGACCTGTCCTAGTGGGGCCTCTGTTGAAAAGGAGGTCAGCATCTTGTGGGATGTCTATTATGATATCCATGACTGCATGAATGGGAAATTACTAGGTGAACCCAAGTTATCTTGTCCCCTGATGAGGAGAAAAGAATAGAGTACTAGTAGTATCAGAGCAACAGTGATCAATAGTTCCAGGTGTTGATTTTTGGTGCCAAAGGGCTTCCTAAGTCCTACCTGGAGACTGTGTAGTCTTTCAAAAATTTTAGACAAACGGCGCAGAGGATTGTGCACTATGTCATGAATCGCCATAACATAATAATTATTACTATATATTTATTTTGGCTTGGCTCGAGGAACCGCTGGTCGAAAACTGGCCAACAGGAAGGTATGATACCCCGTTCACACTCTCGGTTGCGTCCAATCACACGGATTAACATTCTTCCATAACTCGCTTACCCGCCCTTCTATCCTAGGCCGGCACCTCTCCCATCCTAACCCTGCCCACTCCAGCCTCCTCTGTCTTGAATTGGGCGAGCGAGGAAATCTACACTCCGCCTTGCGACCCTGAAAATGTTGAAGACCAAACCCCTCAACGACCTCCTCTCGCAGAGTATCTCTGCAAATGTCTCCTCTGCTTTGTACTGATACCCCTTTATGAGCCCTCCTACCACACATTTTCTGACAGATTCGGTACTAGAATATTTACCCCATCCGGCTCCCTCCTCGCAACCGGAACCTCGCCGACCGCGCCCTCGGCCAAGAAGTCCAGAACACACGCTGCGCTTGCTGCCAACATTTGGAGTCTTTATTCGCGAGTTGCCTCCACTGGTGCGATTGAAGCTTCGCTTCCCACGACTCCAGCAACCAACGTTGCCGCGCCGCCATCTCCCCCTGAAACGGCCGCTGAAAGCCCCCCTGAGGTGCTCAAATCTCTTACTCTTGAGCTCTCGGATTACAATCTTCATATACAAATTGTTGCGGAAAGGGTCTTGCTATGTCTTATTGGGCCAAAGGTTGCTGGTGGCAGTAGCAGGAGCAGTCTGCACAGTGAAGGGGAGAGCAAGTCTGCGAAGAGCGGCGGTGGGGGAGGCAGCGGGAGTGGTAGTGGGGTCGTGCTGGGTGGTGGGTTGGGTATCCTGAAGACTCAAGCTGTTGCATTAGCAAACTACCTCGAGGAGGAGCTCCGGGGATTTGAGTTGCCTGACGGGATATAGATTGCTAAATCTGCACCTCAAGGGCGGCAACCAGTGCGAAGTTCCCTGCACACTGTCTTCTTTTTCTTCGCCTTTTCCTTTTTAATTCTCGCTCTACGCCATTCTCTACCCTAATACTCGAATTAATCCAGTCGGCGTAGACACCAGTTAATCGTTAGAAATTTGGGTGGTTCCGCATGTACCTCTTTCCCGCCCCGCTTCTCTTCAATGTTTCTCTTGTTTTCTGATTTTCGGGGCCTTCCCCTTTCTTCTGCGCACCTGGATTTTGTTTATTTACCCCGGGGAGTGATCGCCCCGCCGACATTGCCAATTTGCTACCGTCTCTCCGACCCTAGCACTTCTAGCACAGGTATGAATGATTGCGTACTCCGCGAGAATTATTCATGACTTAATTTGCTCACTCACAAGACAACCCGGACCCGGAGTCATGGAGTACTCAGTCCAAATATAAGTAGAAGAGGAGACTCGTAGTAATGCCTCTAGAATGACTAACACCTTGGTGGCTAATCCTATTCGCTCGGGTATCACAAGGTCCTTTTATGAGGGAAAGTTGATTCCAGTGGACGGAACCTGAGTGCCAGGAGAGATCAAATTCCTACTTACTAATACTCTAGGCTCTCCTCGAATAATTTAGTCAACTCACCTTTCTGCCTTTCCAGATCTTCGTCCAGATTGGGTGCTAACATTAGTACCCTACGTTGCGGGATAGTACCCTCAACTAACCCTTGGATATCACCACTAGTATAACCAAGCTCTTTAATACCTTTTGGTTGACCCCCAAGCTTATACAAGAATTCCTTCAAGACGTCACTCAGCATGTCCCCAGCATTCTCGGCACGAGCATTAGATATATCAACTCCGAAGACCTCCGCCGCTGCCAGGTGTCGCTCTGGATTCGAGGCAGCCGTGAACTTGAATACCGCCGGCGCAGTTACTGCTACGCTTACCTGAATTTCTAGTCAATATAGAGTGCGTGCAGGAGGGGCACGGAGAAACTAGGACGCATACTCCGTGTGGAATAATTGGATGATCAACTTGATATCCGTGATGTTTATACCCCTTATTTCCTCCCGATATTGGATAACTCATCCCGTGGCAGAGGTGAACACCTGCATTTCCGAATCCGACACCCGCCAACGTGGCAGCAAGCAACATCTGGCTTTGCGCTTCCTGGTCACCCGGATCACGTACTGCCCTTGGCAAGTACTTCACTGTCATTTGTAACGCTTTGAAGGAGAAGATATCGCTAATGGGGTTTGCCCCCTGGTAGGTTGGGCGCAGAAGCGGGTTTGTAGGACGGGGTGTACGTTCACTGTATGGAATGGCCGTATAGGATTCGAGAGAGTGGCAGAGCACATCCAAGCCAGTTGAGGCGTGGACAGCAGAAGGCATAGAACGTGTATTGAGTGGGTCACATATTCCGAGGGTTGGCTTGAGCATTCGGTGGGCGATACCGGTTTTGGTTTTTTTGTCGACAAGGTCACTTGTTGATTAGAAAAGGTGCCAAGGCGGGGAGCTAGCGAACTCACAAGATTGCGGTACCAGTAGTCTCGCTGCCAGTTCCGGCAGTAGTCGGGATGCAGACCAAAGGACTCAGAGCTTTGGTGATCGGTAGCCCTTTTCCTAATGGTGGGTTCACCTTTCTGGGTCAATCTCGGGGCCCGGAGAAGGGAGGGGGCGACAGGGTGGGACTGACGAAGTCGAGGAACTCCGCCTGAGGGAAATTTGTAAACAGATTCACCAGCTTCGCAGTGTCCATCACACTCCCACCACCGACAGCCAAGTAGGCATCACCATTCGCCTTCTTGCCAAATTCAATTGCCTGCTTCACAGAGTGATCCTTTGGTTCAACCATCACGTCGGAAAAGATCTCGTACTTTACCCCCGCGCTTTCAAGTGCTGAGACTGCAGTCTTCATGGGGGCTAGCCGTTCAATTGTCTTGTCAGTAATAATGATGACCTTCTTCGCCCTGATGTTTGAAAAGTCCATCCCCACTTCTCGCGTGCTACCAGGTCCGAACCGAATGCTTGAGGTGGCCATTTCGAAGGCATACTCTCTCTGCTGGCCGGTTGGGGTGCCAAGCGACCGTATCCCCTCCAGGAGTGAAGACGCAGGACCAGCGGAACAGTGCGAGTGACTGAATGCTCCGTGACAAGGACAAGCGGGGGGGTGGGTGTACTGAATAGTACGGAGCAGCGAGAGTGCCTTACTACAAGCGGTAGGGGCAAGCCTTGTTAAGATCATTGTAGGGGAGTGAGGGAATGGCGGGGTGAGCAACACGGGATGAGTGAGTGACACCGGGGTATCATAAAGGGGGCGGGGCGAGAGAAGGGGCAAAGTGATGGGTGGAAACCCTAGGGGAGAAGGTAGTGTGGATTGTCAGGTTGAAAGTTGTCAAGGTGGGAAGCTCTATGCAGCCCCACGGTCGTTCGGGTAATAGTCTAAGTTAACCCAAGACTTACGCTACTCCGTAAGTCGCGCATCACTACCCCATGCCCTTAACCGCTCTGGGGGTACTGTGTGACATTTTGTGCTACCCCAGCCGGCGACTAAGAAAGAAGGGCTGCCTCGCGTGATATATGGTTAGAAGTAATGGTGAGGAACCAACATAAGAGGCTAACGTATGTGACCCAGTAATGGGAAATTAGCTAGTTATGGGACTCATTTCAAAGTCATGTCTCATTCTTTAAAAATCTCTCGTTTGTGAGACGGGAATGAAGGCAACATGATTGACTCTACAGATAAGATAAATGAATGCAGAGGTGCAGAAGTAAAGACTTATGATACTACAACTAAATGAGAAAAGAAAAGGATCTTATGATAAGAAACATGTCTGGAAAAACATTGCCTCCGGCTGATACAGGCTCGAAGTCGGGGTGACAAAAATGAAACAAATGTTCTTAATTGTGGGCGAGAGAGCAACCAGAAAACGGCGGGGCAAGGAGCGAAACTGATGTGAATCAATGGCTCAAGTTACATGTTTCAAAAAATATACCAATAATGATATTATAACCTATGCTGGGTTAATTGGACTAGATTGATAACTAAATGAATTAACATGGTTAGAGTCAGATTTCATAAGTATTAGGTAAGATGAGTTTACGCAAGTGTTACCAAGTAAACTAGAAGAGAGCTGTAAAAATCAGTAAAAGATTATTTAGCCTCTGAAGCTGCGGCACCAAGTTGTGACATACCACAGGTGTCGTTTACTTCTCCTATATCATATGCACTAGGTGCCAGTATTACATGTGACCACACCTGCATCCTATGTGTCTTGTATTTCCACCGCGCCATGCATGTGTCCTACATATCCTGTCACACAGTTTTGACATCTAAATTATGTAGCAGGTTAGTCTTAATTAGTTGACCTTGGTGTTCACATCCATTTTCTATCCCTTAGTCCTATCCCCTGGACGGATGAGACACGCAGATTTACGGCCTTCCTTATATGGTAGTTCTATCCTGTGGCACAGTGACTTTGCCTCACAAAAATCCTAAAATGCTAAGCGTTTTTTTGTGGAAAAGTCACTTGGCCACGGAATAGAGTTACCGTATACGGAAGGCCGTGAATCTGTTATTCTCATCCGTCCATGGGATACTATATTTTTGCTAACTACTCAAAAATCAGCTTATAATCTCGTGCGTGGACAAAATTAACTGCGATTCAACAGAGGAAAATCTTGGGCGATGACAACCACACTCACCCACCAATCCACTATCAGGAAAACCAAAAAAAAAAGTTAAAAGACATAAATACATAGTAGATATTAATATTTGGTATACCATCCATAAGCCTTAATAATTGCCTCTATTCTATCCACCATTGATATAGCTAAAGTATCAAAAACCTTTAGATCAAGAAGTTCTCAACAACAAGTGATGGCCTCTAATATTGCTGTAACAATCCCCCTTCAGATGGTTAGTTCTTGGCAATGGGGAACGATACCTCTCTTCTTTTTCCTCTGAGTCTTATGATAGCTCCAGGCTGATGCCTATGTTACCAACAGTACAAGAACACTGTCTCCTATGGAAAACACCTATCATAAGCATTTTTTAACTCTTTTTTGTGAAGAGTTCTCTTGGTGTAACAATAATAAAGGTGGTGATATTGATAAAGAGTGTAATGGTGCTTTATATTGGTTCTGATAATAAGTAGGAAAAGTACTTAGAAGTCAATCTAATTTTATTTAAACTCATACTGCCAATACTGCCATATGACGAGCCTCTACCAGTAAAGGGATACCGATAACCAGTATACCACTAATCTCAAGCTAACTAAGTCAACAGCCCCACACTTACCATCCCTGAGTCATGCCCATATGAAAACTAATTACAAGACCATCAAACAACGCAGCGCTGCCCTAGTCCAAGTCCGTAGCCTGTCTGGTGTAAAGCCAACCTGCACTAAGCATAGCAGAAGGCGAGCAAAAGACCAACCTGATCAGATTCTTCATCTAGCAAACATAAAAATACTACTTCCTGGCCTAAGTACCATCTCACGAAACCTCTATCACAGTAGAAAACCCACAAAAAACAAACTAAACCTACAGGTGACACAATGGCAAAGAGGAGGTGACCAAGATGTCCACCTCTCATACCCACATGTGAGGCCGTTGATCCTATGAACCCACTTAGCCAGTTGCCCCCAAAGAGCGTACCGGTAAGGAGGACGTGTACCAGCTACCTGTTCCCCAAACCAATTAACAGAAACAAAGAAAATACATAGAGGTAGTAACTGACCAAGAGGGTCAGCAGGACCTATCTCTGACCCGTAGTACCTTGCCTCCTCCCATGATCTCCAGAACTAAACCAAAGCAACTAAACAAACCCCATAAAACCAAGCATACAAGTCCCAAAGAAGTCCAACAAAGTGATGGCAATGCACAATCTTCACCAGTGGCCATCAGCTAGCCGGTCCGTTAGTGCGCCTTGTAGCACTCAGCAGCTTCACCCAACTGCCCAAGCCAGACTGTAAACACTTAATTAGACCTTGCCCAACCTGACGCAGGCCTGACTGATGCTCACAGGTGCCTCTCCATCCCAAATCAGCCCCACCCAAGTCCCACACACTAGACCTCACATGGTCCATCCAGTCCTCTCAGCCCTGCAGACAGATCAACCATCTAACCGCTACAGGTCAGCTTATACCTAACCCCATCAGGTAGCCACTGGTCTTTGCCACACCAATAGAGCCCTATCTCCCAACATCATATAGCCGAGAGAGGGCCACAATCTACAGCTAGGAGTCATGAATGAGGCAGCACCAAACCCCAAAGGCACTGGCACTAACCACACTGTCTAACCCAGCCAAACTGAAGTCCAAGTCAGGAAAGAGTAAGCAGAGCGTGCCAAAGCCAGCCCCACAGGTCTGTCAGCAGGCAAAGTGCAAATGACGAGCAAGAGGGGCCCCCAACCGACCTGACAGGAAGGGGGAGGGCAGGTGAACAGAAGCAGAAAAACAGAAGGTAGGTCCCACTTGCAATGGGTGAAGCCACCAACCACAATCCACACCTGAACCACTAAGATACACAGACAACATGAGTGTCTGGTAGCCAATTGTCCCACACTACTCCAGGGAACAACAACAGCCATCCAGAGGGCAAGACCTCTCAGGGTTAAAGCCATCCCCACAGAAGCAAGCAGGTGACAGCTGACTAAAATGCCGTAAATGCCACAAGGACAAATCTCTAAGGGAATACGGATAAACAACATTGTAGGATTCCAATGGTAGAAAGGAAAAGTAATGAGGAGGGGCTGGGCGGGTACCACCCTGCCACTTGGGAATTGATGTGGCCGGTACTACGTGTTGAAGCAAGGAAAGGTCATCAGTCTATCGGAAGGGCGTTTTGTATAGCGAGAACTAAGGACTTTATTAAAACCCAACAAACATAAGCTAGCCCCAAGAACTACACACGTGATCCCCGGAAATACAATGTTTCATCCCCCCTAAGCAAATACGAAACCTGCAAGTAGATGATAGACAGGAAGTGAAAGACATTTTACCAAAAGGGGCTTGTAAGCTACCATGTTGAAGTGCTCCAGATGGCAGCATCTTGAGATAACCAGCGAGCAATGAAACTGTGCAAACAAGTAATCCGCCATGCAAGCCAAATCGATCTTAACACCAAGACCTCCAGGAACCACTAAGCAAACTCAGATATCTCCCCCAGAATCCTGAGCAACAAAGTCCATCATGGGTGCGACCGGAACGCTCCAAGGTGAAGTGATGGCCAGGATGATGAAAGGTACTTAGAACAAAGCCTAAAGAACCTATCCTCCTTGGCCGTACCGGCCTCCTTAGATAGTGTTCTTCCAGCTCCAAGTCATGAGACCCAAAGTGGTCACATGTGGAAAAATAAATTATTAATGCAATAAACAAGTCACATGACTCCAAGTAGTCACATGGGCGAATCCCATGACCTTATAATGTGATCATGTGCCAAACATAAACCATATCTGTAAGGCATACCCGCAAGGCATACATGTAAGCGACACTTGCCGGGTGCAGGTGTTATGACTCATACTTGAGCTATGTGTGAAATATAACAAATTATAACATAACAAGTCATATGATCTAAATAGGTCATATGCGTAAAACAATAACATAGCTATGACTCATAATGATGCCTTAGGTGAAAACCTTTTCCTTGCTAAGCCACCTTCGTGAAAATTGCCTGCTTGACTGCATTGACATCTCCCTTCATAAGATATAGCTCACGGTAGGGTTGTGAAGCTTAACTTTTACCAGAGACCAAATATTTTTCTATTGGATTGAGATCTGGTAAATAGGTAGGAATTTCCATCAGTGTATTTCCCTGCCCTCTGAGCCATCTCGTAAAAGGAAAGTGAGTCTTAGCATTGTCAATAACAAAAAATACCTCTTCTTTACCAGCCTTTTCTCTGATATTCTCCACATCTCCTTTGTTCAATACCAATGAGATAATGCCTATTTCAAACTCTCTTGAGATAGATCCTCATCTAAATGAACTCTCTCTTGTACTATCCACTTTCTAAGATGCTTTTTTTCAAGTCTTCTCCTTACTGTCCTACTAGAAGCATTGGGAGCAACTTGCTCAGCAATGTCAGAATAGGTATTATGGTGATTCTTAAGAGCTTCCTCCACCATAGCATGATCTTGTAACTTGGTAGTTTTAGAATGTCTTCTTCTACCCTTATTCTCCTTGCCCTCTTGATGTCTATTTGCAATTGTATCTCTGACGGTAGTATAGGAGATATTAAGATAGAAGGAAATTTGCTGATATCTCATCTGAGGCTCGTGTAACTCAAGAATTCTCCCTTTGGTAAACTCAGAAAGAGGTATGGAGGGAATTAGTTTTTTGGCATGACTCCGAAGAATAGGAAACATAG